ATTATTATTATTATTATTATTATTATTATTATTATTATTATTATTATTATTATTATTATTATTGATATTATTGATATTATTATTATTTCTCGCCTTTTTGAGCCCTGTGAGGAAACACGACGAGTACGAAGCAGCAGCAGTCCCACAAAATTCAAGCCCCCCCCACCCCCGCCTTGGTTCGAATGGCCATTTTTCAACATCTTTTTTCCTCTGTCTATGCGAATAGCCGTGTTCAGTGCCAGCCTTCGTTGTTTCTATGTTGGCTCGGGACTGGCCCGAGTGCTTTCCATCAGGGAAAGGTTCTCGGAGGCAGGGTGCTCTTTTGTGGACCTCGGTTTTGACGGGTCACGGGAGGCAGGGGGCTTTTAAACGTTTGATTCGAAAACCGCGTTTTTTTGTTTTCGTTTTCGCATGTATTGATGTACGTACGTGTGTACATACATGTGTGTGTACACACACACAGACACACAGACACACACACCGCCCTTTTAGTGTTATGCGTGCGCCGCACGACGGACAATAATTAAAGCGCGATTAAATGAAAAAGGGACCCAAGAAAGGAATTGCTCCCCCTCCCCACAATCCTCTGATTGGGTCCCAGGATTTTAAAGAAACAAACAAATCCTTTGCGACTTGCCTAGGGCGCCGTGCCTCAGTTTCCCAGCCCACCCAGAATTTCCCTGGGAAATAGGCACTTCCGAGGTACAGAAATTCAGGGAATCCAGAACCTGCTATTATTATTAATATTATTTTAAGTGGGGGAAAGAAGAGTGTTAGGTTTTGATTTCCAAATTCTTTTTTTCGAGAGCGGGGATTGGGACAAGATCGGATCGGAGGGAGGGTCAATGCACCAGGCAAGGAAACCTCGCAAAGGACGGCGGCGAACGACCGCCTCGATTTTGTTCGCCGGCCTTTCGGGAAAAGGGAATAAAAGTGGATGCTCCGAGCAGCAGCCGCGATTTTTGGGCTTCTCGGTCCGCTTCTGCAGCGGAGAAACCCTGGATCCCTTTCGAAGTTTTATGGGCCAAGAATGAAAACGCTAAACTATTTCGGAAAGAATAATTTAAAAACCCACCGGCGTTCGCACATCATAGCTCGGTGAACTTTGGTTTATTAAAACTTCTTTTTGCTCATTCAGCTGAGTTTA